GAGGTTAGCGATACTTCACGGGTTTCATTAATTGTAATCGGAGGTTAGCGATATTTCACGGGTTTCATTAATTGTAATCGGAGGTTAGCGATACTTCACGGGTTTCATTAATTGTAATCGGAGGTTAGCGATATTTCACGGGTTTCATTAATTGTAATCGGAGGTTAGCGATACTTCACGGGTTTCATTAATTGTAATCGGAGGTTAGCGATACTTCACGGGTTTCATTAATTGTAATCGGAGGTTAGCGATACTTCACGGGTTTCATTAATTGTAATCGGAGGTTAGCGATACTTCACGGGTTTCATTAATTGTAATCGGAGGTTAGCGATACTTCACGGGTTTCATTAATTGTAATCGGAGGTTAGCGATACTTCACGGGTTTCATTAATTGTAATCGGAGGTTAGCGATACTTCACGGGTTTCATTAATTGTAATCGGAGGTTAGCGATATTTCACGGGTTTCATTAATTGTAATCGGAGGTTAGCGATATTTCACGGGTTTCATTAATTGTAATCGGAGGTTAGCGATATTTCACGGGTTTCATTAATTGTAATCGGAGAAAAGCTCAAGGTACTCTTCGTTTTTGAAAATGGAAAAAAAAAAAAAACGAAGCTGTCAAAATAAGATATTAAACTATTGATGGAAGCATTGAAAGTAAAATGTTTAGGAAGAAACTTCAAATGATATCATATATTAAAGATCAATGGCTTCTCTGTTCTTGTAATCACTTTTCATCTCCACTTCTGAAACTTCATCTCACATAACTCTCAAATTCAAACCCTTGAAACTCCAACTCCCACACCCTTCAAACTCCAATTCCCACTCCCTTCAAACTCCAATTCCCACACCCTTCAAACTCCAATTCCCACTCCCTTGAAACTCCAACTCCCACACCCTTCAAACTCCAATTCCCACTCCCTTCAAACTCCAATTCCCACACCCTTCAAACTCCAATTCCCACTCCCTTCAAACTCCAATTCCCACTCCCTTCAAACTCCAATTCCCACTCCCTTCAAACTCCAATTCCCACTCCCTTGAAACTCCAACTCCCGCTCCTTTGAAACTCCAACTCCCGCTCCCTTGAAACTCCAACTCCCACTCCCTTGAAACTCCAACTTCCACACCCTTGAAACTCCAACTCCCACATCCTTGAAACTCCAACTTCCACACCCTTGAAACTCCAACTCCCACATCCTTGAAATTCCAACTCCCACACCATTGAAACTCCAACTTCCACAGCCTTGAAACTCCAACTCCCACACCGTTGAAACTCCATCTCCCACACCTCTGAAACTCCATCTCCCACGACTCAGAAACTCCATCTCCCACACCTCTGAAACTCCATCTCCCACACCTTTGAAACTTCAACTCCCACATCTCTGAACCCGGCTCCAGGGAATGAATAACTGCACGATGTCAACTTTAAGACACAGTCTTTGGACACAAATTTTCATAATTTCATCTTTACAAACGCAGAAGAGAAACATTTTTAATATTGAGAATCAAAGTAGTTCTACATTACAGTAGATTCAATTGTGATTTTGGAAGCGCGTTAATGAGTCACAGTACCAGTCATCAAATGAAATATATGATCGTAAGTTACATTGAATTATATTATTTTGATAAAATATATTTCGTGAAATTTCCTGTACCCCAAGTTAAAGCTCTATAATATTTAAATGGTTCTAGCCCTTCAGTTAAAGTGCTTCTATAAAATGGGGTCGAGACTCGAAGAATATTGGGAACCTCTGCTTCGTAGGAATGGTAATGAGTTTTAAATAATGATCTTAATAATAATAATAATAATAATAATAATAATTATAATAATAATAATAATAATGAAGTTCATTTCAAAAACACGCTTTATCCCCAAAGGCTCGAAGCGTGGTACAAAGTCAAATTTTTAAAAAATATTATTTACCACATTTAAAACAAACGCAACACGACAAAAAATAATTACAAGTATACCAAGTCAAAGTCTTCACCAGTTAACAGTACTTCTATCAAATAAAAAAACAAAAACACATGAAGACTGATGACGTCATATTAACCCCGAGCAGAGCAAAGGGGGATAACTAAAATAAAAAGTCATTATCACTCGCATTTGAGTAGCCTCTACTGATCTAAAAATGCCCTTTTAAAATATCGGGCCACATGTAATCCAAATGAATTAAAACAAAGACATTAAAAAGTAATTTGGGACCAAGTCAACCTACCTCGTTGTTGGCCAGCTGGATCAAATACTTGGCCAGGTTTTCCGGTGACGAGAAATCTTTCGTGTCTATGACCGAATGGGGTGGGAAATATTTCTTGTAATCCGTGCCACTCCTGACCACAGGTATCAAAGTGTTCATCTCCAAAATCCCGCGCAACTTCTCCGTGACGTAATCGACGCAGAAGGAGTTCTCAAACGACAAATAAAACTTGTAGTCCGTGTCCAGCATGCGCGCGCATTTCCCCCTGTCTTCGCATTTGAGCTTCCCGCATTTCCCGTAGACGTCCACCTGGATGTATTTGGACAGCTCGGCGGCGTACTCTTCCCTGCGGCTCTGGATGTTGCAGTGGCTCACGAACCACGCCACCATCTTGGTCTTGTTGGCGAACTTCTCCTTCCACCTCTGAACGTCCTGTAGCTTCTTCTCCTCCGTCGTTTCGTTCTCCTTGGGCCTCACCTTCAAATACCCTTGCCAGAAATCAGAATCGTACCGGTACGTGACCGTCCAGTCGAACTTGTCGTTCCAGTGCCCCGCCCCGAAGGCCTCGTTGTCGGACAGAGGGGGCGGTTCCGCGGCGTAGAACGCCCACTTCTGGCCGGGTCGTTTCTCCGGCACGACCTTGAGGTCGTTGGCGTACTTGTAGTGGGAGTAGAAGACGACCAGGTCGGCCTCGCCGAATCTCCGCTCGTCCTCGGTGACGTCGCATTTGTAGGCGCACTCGTCCAGCATCTTCTGGTACCTCTGTGACGTCATCTCGTAGTATTTCGGGAACTGTCTGAAGAGTAGGAGTTTCTTCTTGGGACCCACGGCCTTCCAGCGGGCCTCTTCGGCGGGGTCCGTGTTGTGGCACTTAAGGTCTGTGTTTTTTTTGGAAAGAGAGTGGTCCATTTTAATACATTATTTAAGGTAGAGACTACAACATTGAGTTTATCTAGTCATCACTATAGATTTTGTTTTACTCTCAGAAGTATCATTAGTTGTGAAAGAGAGTGGGAGACTAAAGACTGGATATACCCTCCCCCCACCCCCGGGGATTTTCTTCTCACTATGCCTCCACTATCCCTCTCACATCCCCACTCATCCCTCTCTCACCCCTCTCTCATACCTTCCACATCCCTCTCTCATCCCTTCCACATCCCTCCCTCATTCCTCTCTTATCCCTCCCTCCTCCCTCCCCATCCTTCCCTCATCCCTTCTTCATCTCTCCTCCATCTCTCCTCCATCTCTCCTCCCTCCATCCCTCCCCCATCCCTCCCTCATCCCTTCTCCATCCCTTCTCCATCCCTTCTCCATCCCTTCTCCATCCCTCCCCCATACCTCCCTCATCCCTCCTCCATCTTTCCTCCATCCCTGCCCAATCCATCCCATATCACTCCCTCCTCCTCTCCCATCCCCCACCCAACCAAACAAACCAAATAGGCCTATACAAATGTGCAGTCCTGTCAGTGAGATAGCCATCCCCATATTTTGTTTTCTTCCCCCACAACATGTACGTACTTGCGCTTGATTCGTTCTTCACAATGTGGATCATACTGTCTCTGGACGGCACCACGAGACGGGCTTTGCTGGGCGCTTTGACTCCACCCGTTGTACCCGAAGCGACGACGCCATTCTGCCCACTGACCACAGTGGTCTCAGAAAGCACAGTGGGCTTACTGGTCACGGTGGGCTGAATGACCACGGTGGGCGGACCGACTTCAGGGAGCTTTTTGACCTCGTCGGGCCGACCGACGTTGGGTTTCCTGCTGACCTCATCGTGCGTGTTGACGTCATTGTCTCCACCAAAGGCGGTGATGTCATTGATTTTGTTGGCCCCAAAAGTGATGACGTCACCTAAAACAAAATTAAATATGGTGTCCCGCAGGATGTATCACAAATTAACTTATATTTTTTTGCATGCAACTGGCGATTGTTATTATTCTTGGCATCAATTCACATTTGATATGCATACCATTTCGGTGTGGCGACCTGTCTTATCTCATTGACTGATTCAAAATAAAATAATAGGTTCATATAGTTGAAATCTTAAATGTAAAAATAAATATTACTATTTAGTAAAAACTAAAATGAAAGGATGCATATAAACCCAGCTTAGGTAAGGGGAGATTAATCCCCCACTAGCATCACGTTCGTTGCACTCCGATTAAGTGTAGAATCTTGCAGAACAAATTCAACTATGCGCCAAAATGCTTCCCTGCATTTTTCACCAAACACAAATTCTGTGTAAGGGGCGCAACCCCCTACCCTGACATCTCTCCCACCTCCGCTCGGATAATATGAAGTGCGATATTTATGTGTATGTGGCGACACGTGTAGATGTGTTATCATCTGAGAATCACATATGTGGCGGCACGTTTAGATGTGATATCATCTGAGAATGACATATGTGGCGGCACGTTTAGATGTGATATCATCTGAGAATTGCTACTGTGGCAGCACGTGTAGATGTGTTATCATCTGAGAATTAGGTATGTGGCGACACGTGTAGATGTGTTATCATCTGAGAATTACATATGTGGTGTCACGTGTAGATGTGATATCATCTGAGAATTACATATGTGGCGGCACGTTTAGATGTGATATCATCTGAGAATTGCTACTGTGGCATCACGTGTAGATGTGTTATCATCTGAGAATTACGTATGTGGCGACACGTGTAGATGTGTTATCATCTAAGAATTACATATGTGCTGTCACGTGTAGATGTGATATCATCTGAGAATTACATATGTGGCAGCACGTGTAGATGTGTTATCATCTGAGAATTACGTATGTGGCAGCACGTGTAGATGTGTTATCATCTGAGAATTACGTATGTGGCGGCCCGTGTAGATGTGTTATCATCTGAGAATTACGTATGTGGCGGCACGTGTAGATGTGTTATCATCTGAGAATTACGTATGTGGTGGCACGTGTAGATGTGTTATCATCTGAGAATTACGTATGTGGCGGCACGTGTAGATGTGTTATCATCTGAGAATTACGTATGTGGCGGCACGTGTAGATGTGTTATCATCTGAGAATTACGTATGTGGTGGCACGTGTAGATGTGTTATCATCTGAGAATTGCTACTGTGGCAGCACGTGTAGATGTGTTATCATCTGAGAATTACGTATGTGGCGGCCCGTGTAGATGTGTTATCGTCTGAGAATCGTGTGCCGTAAGAATTAACAAGTACTTTTGTGCTTCGTGGCATGCGATCCGCGAAGAGTTTTCCTCTCGATCCGTAGCTACGCCCCTGCCTTGGCGGGTTTTCCTTTTATGACTATAGTCTCGCACCCCCCTATGAATTGTTTCATTACTTCTATCACCTTCTTACAAAAATAACCATGTGTTATAAATGAACACACATGATATGGACTTTTAACGGGTTGATTCAAATATAAGGCGTGTTGTAGAACTTAATATATCAACATATGACTTGTTGTGTCAATTTAATTGTGAGTAAAAAAAATACTTTAAAGTATTTTTTTTTTAAAATGTACATCTTACTTTAAAAGCTAATGTCTCCTCCTCTTCTTAAAAATACCTTTTTTTTTTCTCCCCTCACAACCCTTGACGCCTGAAAGGCCACCCCTCAACAGCAGTCACACCCCCTCGCGGGGCTACGTCAGACAAGGTTGGGACACCCCCGCGATCATGTCAATCTCTTCCTTTTAAACACCAAATATTACTTAACCATTTTTTACAGTCTGTTCAATGTAAGAACAATGTGGGGGGGGGGGGGGGGGAGGGGGTGGGGTTCTTCCTTATTTTAGGATTTGGAAAGGTAGATAACCATTAAAAATGAAAAACACTAAAATACTATAATCGGTTGGTCTAAAATTTACGACGCTAAAATGCGTGATTTTCCATCGGAGATTTGGGTCCCTTTAAAAATATGCTTAGCCTTACTCACTCCCATCGGAGCATAGGCCATAATAGATCATATTATGTCAAACGCCATCCACTATTCTTTTCCATTGTCCCTGTCCTGGGCTATCTTGGCTTGTTCAGCTTAATTAAGGATAGGCCATCCACTATACTTTTCCATCTGTCCATGTCCTGGGCTATCTTTGCTAATTTGGCCCAGTGGAGCATAGGCCATTCACAATACTTTTCCATCTGTCCCTGTCCTGGGCTATCTTTGCTAATTTGGCCCAGTGGAGCATAGGCCATCCACAATACTTTTCCATCTGTCCCTGTCCTGGGCTAGTTGAGCCAAATGTTTCTTTATTCTCTTTACCTCCGCCTCTGCTCCCCTCTTCCACGTGGCTCTCGGTCTTCCGCTTTTCTGGGAACCTTGGGGATCTCCAATTCAGGGATCGCCTGTCTCGTCTTATTGATAGTTGGTTGCCTTAATGTGTGCCCTATCCATCTCCATTTTCACTTTAGTATCTCCGTTTCCAATGGAACACATGATATTCTCTCCCAAAGAACAGTGTTACACTTTAAAAAAAAAAAAAAAACATCTTGTTTTGAGGATTCCTCGCCTGCATAAGTTAATAAAAACTTGCAGTTTTTATAATGGTTGTTCATGTTGTCCTCCAAGTTGTTCATGTTGTCCTCCAAGTTGTTCATGTTGTCCTCCAGGTTGTTCATGTTGTCCTCCAAGTTGTTCATGTTGTCCTCCAAGTTGTTCATGTTGTCCTCCAAGTTGTTCATGTTGTCCTCCAAGTTGTTCATGTTGTCCTCCAAGTTGTTCATGTTGTCCTCCAAGTTGTTCATGTTGTCCTCCAAGTTGTTCATGTTGTCCTCCAAGTTGTTCATGTTGTCCTCCAAGTTGTTCATGTTGTCCTCCAAGTTGTTCATGTTGTCCTCCAAGTTGTTCATGTTGTCCTCCAAGTTGTTCATGTTGTCCTCCAAGTTGTTCATGTTGTCCTCCAAGTTGTTCATGTTGTCCTCCAAGTTTCACAGCCGTACAGGAGAAGTACCTTGACGTTTGAGTTGAATATTTTCAAATTTTTTTTTTTTTTTGGTCAGTATTTCACGTAAGTTTCATATGTTTCGTAGGGCATTGAATGCTCCTCTGGCCCTTTGTACCCTAGATTTTTATGTCCTCATGTGTCACACCGTTTGTATTTATGATGCTTCCCAGGTATGCAAAAAAGTCTCAACTTCTTCAAGAGAGGCTCGAGCCAGGTTCATCCCAATGACTCCATCATCCCCTGCATTTATTCTCAAGGTCTTGATTTTGTTCCCTTCTTTTAAGCTTGCTGTCCAACTTGCTGGGATACAGGGTCACGTTTTAATGTTTCCTCCTGCATTTGTCTGTGGCTATGTGATAAAAATGCAGTGCCATCTGCACAATCCAGATCCTCCAGCAGTCTGAAAGGTGTCCACTGGATTCCATTTTTACCATCCCGTGTTGTTTCTCTCCTGATCCAGTCAATGGATAACCGAAAGGGGAATGGGGAGAGCAGGCAACCCTTTCGAACTAAGAATTTATAACCGTTTCATTATTTTAATTCTTTTTTTAAAGTTTAAATTCAAATTGAATTTAAAAATCTAGAGAGGGAGATAATTTTATCGAAACCACACGCACCTACGAAACCCTGAGTTGTCTTCCGTGACAGAAGGCCGACATCGCTTGCAAACCAAATCAATAATATAAGAAAAATTGGCGGTAGGATGAACTTATACACTTGACCTCTTCTCATGGTGACCTGGCGGAAGTAAAAAAAAAAAAATAAGGAAAAGGTTAAAGGTTAGAGAAGACAAGTATCAGGTTGCTTTGGGCTCTAGTGTGTAAACGCCCATATTTAACTGAGGATGGAAACGATTTCTTGTTGTTGTTTAAAATAAAAAAAAAATATATTTCTTATAATTTATTCATTTTTTAAATTATTTTTTTTAATTTCTTTTTATTTTATTTAATTATATTGTACTAGCGAGAACCCGGCATGCGTTGCAATGTCACCCAATTAAAATAGGCGTTTGTGTTTTAATTACTTTTTTTTTTTTTTGAAGTAATTTTTAATTAAAAAATTTTTTTTTTTTTTTTTTTT